AGCCGAGGGCCCAGGGTGCCACGGCCACACCACTGGCATGCCGAGCTGCAGCCAGCCATGCCTCACCGAGCTGCAACAGCAGAGCTGTAGTCAAGACTGTCTGCAAACCCCAGGCACTGGAGCAGCAGCCTCAGCTGCAGGCAGGGCAGCGCTGAACCAGCACAGGCACCATGCAGCAGTGGGGGACCAGTGGCCCCAGCTCTGGGCCCACAGGGAGGCATGGGTGGGCTGGATGTGCTGCCTGGACAGGGTGCAACCCTGGGCTGAGCTGGAGCTGCCTGGGTGCTCCTGGAGGGGATGGATGAGGCTCCTCCTGGAGAAGAGCTGCAGTGAGGCCAGAAGTGCAGGCAGCATTGTCAGGGGGTGAGCAGGTAGCTCTACCTTAAGAACCCGGATAGGCACTGGGAAAGGACAGGCCCAGTCGTTAAGAACACACATAAAGCATTAAAGGACAGAGTGTGGGCTGGGCTGGAGCAGGGGAGGAGGAGTAAGGGGCGTCTCTGCAGCCAGGGCCAGGACAGCCAGGAGGGACAGCAGAGGACATGGGCCGTGGAAAGGAGAAGCCAGCAAACCCCCAGGGCCCAATGAACCGGGGCTGTGAACCTGCAGGTTTGGCACCAATAAATCCTTGGGAAGCAAATAAGCTCCATAGTACCTGTGCTGCGGGTGCCCGTGGGAGGGGATGTGAGCAAACACAGCCCGAGGAGGGCAGCGTGGGGACAATGCTGTGCTGTAGCCCCAGCACCGACCCTGCGGGGGACGCTGCTCAGCCCTCGGCTGGGGAGCTGTTCTTCACGAAACGTCAGACCTGCGTCCTACTGATGTGCCGGGGCTTGGGAGAGATGGGGAGCAGCTCCCCGGGCTGAGCTGACTAAGAGGAGCTGGGCTTTGGTACCCCCTCCCACACCCATGCTCGCAGGGCAGCGAGCTGTGCCCATGCCTTGGCCATGGGAGGACATTGCTCAGCATCCTCCTGGGGACTATCCAGGGTCCCCCAGAGCAGAGGCATATCCCTGCAGCCCCAGGGAGAGGGACACTGATCCCTGGCATGGGGGGAGGCAGGGGGACACATGCAGTGCCCCAAGGCCACAGTGATGGCCGGGCAATGCCAGCTCTGTGCTCCTGGCCCTGCTCACTCAGCTGGCAGGTATGGCAACGCACCATCCCCCTCCCAGGGGAGCCCCCCAAGCAAGAGCCACTCCAGGGTCTCAGAGCCCTGGCCCAGCCCTGAACACACGGACCATGCTCAGCTGCAGCCATTCATTGTGGGACAAGACAGGAGGACCCCACAGGCAGTGCCCCTCTCCTCCCACAGTCACACCACAAACTTGGTCTTGGTGAGGGAGCCGCTCTTGGTGGCCGTGTCCGCATGGGCCTGGTAGCCAATGGCCACCTTCTGCGACAGGCCCAGGTGCTCCTTGTAGACGCGCCTAGGGGAGGGAAGGGGCTGCGTGAACAGGGCAGCATCACTTCTCCCACTGGCTCCCTGCCCAGGAACCCCATTCCACCCAAACCTGGCCCTGCACTGCCCCCCCCCCCCCCCCCCCCCTCCAGCTGCATTACCCAATGTGGGTGACCCCTTCCCGGTTCTCTGCTTCGCGGGTCCAGATGGCAATCTTGTCCCCCTTGGCGCGGATGTTGATGACGGCCCCACATACCTCATCGCTGTACTCATCAAACATCTCCCCAATGAGGCACAGCAGCTGCCAAGAGAAGAAGGGGAGCCCAGGACAGTCCCCACTGGGGCTTGGTGCTGTGGCAGGGGGTACAGACCACTGCTGGGACCCTGCAGGCCAGCCCCAGTGGGGCCACACTCACCGTCTCCAGCCAGAAACGGTCCAGCTCGGTGTGCCGCTGCTGCTTGGCCAGGGTGATGAGCCAGCGCCCGCCACGCTTGTTCTGGCTGTCCTCCCACATGGGCTCGATGCCGTCCTAGGGACGGGCAAGGGGATGGTCAGGGGCACCAAGCACCCAGCCAGAGCCAGACTGGGGAGCCGTGAGCAGCCAGCCGGGCTTCCCCTCCAGCCCTATGGCCAGGGCACCGTGCCAGCCCCACCAGCCCCCAGTATGCCCCCATAATGCTGGGTGCTGCAGGGGGCTCTGAGGAGAAACTGTGGTAGAGGGAGTGTCACACCTTGAAGAGGGAGTAGTCGCAGCCAGATGTGAGCTTGCTGGCGAGCTGGATGTGGCTGTACAGCCTGTGCCGGATGGAGAAAAGACACAGAAACAGGTGAGAAGAAGTGCCTTAGGGACACCCAACACCCTCCTCTGGCCCAGACCCCTCCACAGGGGGCACGTTGCCCACCCATGGGACACTTACGCCCAGAAGTCCTCCACAGTGCTGAACTTGGTGACGAGGCGCAGGTTTGCCTGCCACATCTTGCTCTTATCATTCTTGAAGAACCACAGTGCCCACCTGGGGAGGGAGGGAGGGGAGATAGGGGGTGTTAGCCTTGCTGGAGCCCCCTCCAGCCCCAGCATCCCCCTCCCAGCACTGGGAGAGGCCGCCCATGGCCAGGCCCCCCCATACCTGTTCTGCAGGGGGTGCTTGCCCAGACTCTCAGCCAGGAGCATCTCTTGCTGCTGAGTCCTCCTCCGCCGCCGCTGCTCCTCTTGCCTCCTCTGGGGAAGGAGGAACAGTCCCAAGTAGCCCTCTGACCACCCCAGCAGGGAGCCTGTGGTCACCCAGCCACCCCCACACCATGCCATGGATCCCACAGCCAGGAGCCCCAAGAGGATGGCAGAGCTGCCCAGGCTCTGCTACCGGGCCCAGCCTACAGAGAGAGCACTCACCTGCTCCCCCGTAGCCATCCCACCCAGCACAGGCTCACCCCCCCGGCTGCCCCTGGCTCTTAAGTGCCCACAGGCGGGTGGGATGAGGCAGCCAACCCAGCTGCAGCTGGTGGGGTGGGAGGGCGGTGTGCTGGGGAGGGGCTGTGAGACCAGCCCCTCCTGGGGAGCAGGGAGATGAGAGGATCCCACCCTACAGTAGGGAGCTGGGGGATGAGGGCAGGGGTTCAGGGTGAGATGGGATCGGGATGGGGGGTAGGATGAGGTAAGGTGGAGATGGTGTGGGGTGGGATCAAGATGGTGTGGTATGGGGCAGGATGGTACACGGATAGGGCAGGATAGCATCAGGATGAGGGGTGGGCATGGGATGTGATGGGGAGGATGGGATTAGGGGAGGATGGGATGGGAACAACAGGGGATAGGAATGGAACGTGATGGGGAGAGTGTGGGATGGGATGGGGACGGGATCAGAATGGGATGGGGTGGGGACAGGATGGGATGGGAATGGGTTGGGATGAAGTGGGAAGAGGACGTGATGAGGAGGGGATGGGATGGGATCAGGATGGGATGGGGGACAGGAAAGGCGTAGGGGCAGGGTAGAATGTGGAAGGGGTGGGAAAGGGACAGGATGGGATGGGGACAGCCTGCAGAGGGGAGAGAATGGGATCGGGATGAGAAGGGATCAGTTTCAGGAGGAGATGGGACAGGGAGAGGGTGGGATGGGGGTCGGATGTGATAGGCACCAGGATAGCGTGGGGACAGCGTGGGATGGGATCAGGACGGGAGAAGGTGCGACGTGATGGGATCGTCCCGGGGGTGCCGAGCCGTGCGGGGAAGGACCCCGCGGGCTGGGG